AGAAAACATATTCAGTTACATGGGGCTGTTCCCGAGGTTCAGGTGATGCTTCAGTGGAAGCAGAGCATGAAAGGAAGCACAGTCACACAATGTTTTGATGATTAAAGTACAAATATGCAACAAGACTATTCACTAGCAAAAGCTGCCAGTTAGCTTTTAATGTAGACAACTCGGAACAGAGAAGCTATCGGGTGTCTCTTGGGAATGAACACCTGAGTATCCTGTGGTAGAGAGCCTCTTGGTGCAGGTACTGTATGGCCTCATCCAAACCCAAATATTCACACTCCTTGGTTGGATGTGGAACATTCTTCTACTGTGAGAATAAGCTCTTATTTTCTTTGATGACTCAATGGCAAAGTTCAGTGGAAAATTAGCTGTAACCTTGGACATCAAGTGGCAGAGGATGCTGTCTCAGCAGCACTGCAGTGAGAAAATTAGAGTCCAAAAATGTTGAAGAAAGATATTTTAGAAAGAGAATGGAAAAAAATTCCTTAGCAAATTCTGTTCCCCGAGGAAAATATTAACCACTGAAAACTCAGCTTGCAAGGATATTACATTTTTAATTCTTCATTTTATTTAATAGCTTGCTTTAAAGACAAGGAGAAGGACATGTTTTAGTGAAGTATTTACTACTTCCTTTGGGAAGTATTTTTTTTCTTTGTTAGTTCTAGGATCACGATGTGATGGAGGTGACATGGGACTTGCTGTGGGAGGCCTTAGCAAGGCATGGATTCCTAAATCCCCTGTTAGGTGCTGAAATCGAAACTCAATGCTGCCAGCCCCCGGAACTGCCTTCTCAGCTTTGAAATTCTTAAGGTACCGCCATTTCTGGTCACTGTCAGAATTTTTTCAGGCTTGCTGGGGATTTGAAGGGAAACTTGAATTTCAGTCCCTGCTCCACTGGATATTTACTGTAAGTATAAAATCAAGCATTAGGAAGGACTTGCTTCTCTCAGGGGACTGCCCCATGACTCATCTGTGGGGTACACCTGACCCAGTGAAAATGTCAGTATTTAATGTAAGTGGAGCCGGTTCGGTAGGCAAGAATGAGCATCACGCGGGGAGTCTTAAGTGCTCTTTTGGAATTACAGTCCCTTAGGCAGAAGAGTGATTTGAGCCCAGACCTATACTCTGGGCAAAAGCTGTATCTACTGAAGGCAGCTTTAGCTTTTGGGAAGACTTATGAGAAGTAGCACTGCTTTGACAGCATTGGTGTTCTTACGAGGGTCTGTGGTGAGAGAGCTGGGCATTGTACACTGAGTGTAACAGAGAAGGAGTAATGCCACCCTCTTCCCATGCACATGAGAAAAATCAATCTAAATTTAGTTGCTGTTGTAGCCTAGTTTGTTTTTTTTTCATAGCTGCAGTACTTCTGAATAGCAGCATCTTCCCTGGATTATAAATGGCACCCACCAGAAAGCAATGATCTGAAGCATCTGTAAATGTTTCATACTCAGTTTCACAACATCACTTTGAAAGGGCAAATAACATTTGGGAAAACGGGAAATTGCATCTGCACTTACCAGTGGTTTTGTCTTTTTATTTTTATTTTTTTCTTAAATTTATTACAGTTGTCCCTATAAATCACCCAAGATCAGTTGGGAACTGTTTATGTGCTAATTAAAAGACATTCTTTGGGCCATCAGCCTTATTGACTATATAGCCAAGACAAAGTGTAGGAGGAGAAAAAGGTGCATGTAGTTTATGAGCTACTGCTCTGTGGCAGGAGCAGAATTCAAATCCACACCTGGCCTTTGAGATTAGTGCTTTTGAGAGATCAAGGTGTGCTGCAGAGTGCACAGATCAATTCTGTTTTGAAAAACCCTCAACACCTACTCTGTGTCATGCTGCGTGTGGAGTAAATTGGTTGCTAAGTTAGAAGGGAGCCTGAGGGATTGACTCCAGTCTGTGCTTTGGCTACTCTGCTGAGCTGCTCATACCATCCACAGTGCACTGCACTGCTGAGACTTGGTTGTTTTTTACTGAGGAGTGAAAGGAAGCCTGATCCTGTAGGCTCCAAATTATACCAGTGGCTTTGAATCAGCCACAAAGACTTGTGACAGTTTTCATTGCTGTTGGCTGCCTAGTTCACTAAAAACAATGACTTGATATCAGTATTCTTCCATTTGTCTGTCTGGTGTGGGTGGCAACTCACCACCTAATTCACTTAGCACTTTCTTTGCTCCTTGGAGAATCGGGTAACAAAGTGAGCAGCAGCACACAGGGCTTCTGATGCCATGGTCCAAGGAATGCCATTCCTCAGGCACTGGAAGGAATGGAAGCCCAAGCACTGGTGACTCAGAGCAATCAAGGTGTGCACTGCCCAACTTGAATGAAAAACGTTTTCATTTGCAGTTAGAATTGCTGCACGTAATTTCCCAACAGCTCCTAGCTTGGAGGTTAATGAACATGAGCTGTAACAAGAATGGAAACTGAGGCTAAATTTAACTTCTCACCGCATTGTTGTGGGATGTTAGGGGTTTGGATTTGTTTATTTTTCTACCAATTAAGTGCAAAGGATGTTCCTGAAAGGGGCTAGTGAGAGGAATTTCATTTGAAAGGCCTATTTGTCAGGGTAATGATTTTGGTGACTTGGGAAGGACTTCCCTTTTTTAGACAGTGTTTCCTCCAGTTATAATCTTGCCTTATGGGTCTGAATTTAGTTCTTACTTCAGCAGGCATCATGACTGAAGAGTAGATGTCAGAAGTCTTAAAAAGGATTAGTGCTCCATATATGACCAATAAAATTGAGTTGTGAATTAGGGGTCTCTTCACAGATGTAATAAAGTTTTCCTTCTGCAAGCAGTGAAATTTCTTTCTTGTAGCTGTCAGTGTAGTCGTTCTGCATGGGTGTAAGATATCAAGTGTGCTCAGGGCAATAGCAGAAAAGGGCAGAGATCAAATAAGGGGAAGGGAGCAATCTCAGTTGACTAGATCTGTTCCAAACCAATTGCAAATGCAATAAAACTATAAAGCTCAACCCTGCTCTTGGAAAAACGTTCTAGTAACTTAGTAACAGTGCAATGATTTTATATGATGTTGGTCATGAAAATACGGCTCAGAGCTGTTGAAACCCATACTTCTTGTACACTGGGACTTCAATACAGCTATGATAATTATCCAACACGGAAGACTTCCTCTACTGATGGATTAGTGCATGCTTCAGGAGCTCAGCTGGCGTAAAACACTGGCTAACAAACAGTCCATCTGACTGAGGAAGACAGAAAATACAAAATCCTGCACTGAAGTGAATGGAGAACAAAAGCAACCCAAGCCAACTGAAGAAACTGGCAGTGAGCAAGCATTACTTCTCTAGAATTAGAATGAAACTAAACAATAGGAAACGGGAAGAAAAATACTGTTTTTCACCAGGAGATTCAAAAGGTGAGTGCATGTTACATGGAGAGCTGGATTAGCAATTAATGAATAACGTTACTGCTATCTTTACAAGTGTATCAGAAAAATTTCTAAGGGTTTTCAAAGGACTCCTCCCTGCCCCTCAACAGGGGGATTTGCACAGGGAGTGCTCAGGTGAGTGGGACTATGTATGAAATTGCAATGGCCAGCAGTGTGTGCAAGGCAGCCTCTGCTGCCTGACTGCTTTTAGCAATACAACCATACTAAGCTGAAAGAAATCGAAAGTCATGGCAAAGAGTGGTTCTTGGTGAGCTTCAGGAGTCTCTGCAGCCCAGCTGAGGAGACTTTTAGTGTTGGGGCAGAGTAAGAAACAACCCTAACTGTAGAGTGACTTGCTAAGTAGTCCATGTACAGCTAGTAATATCCCAAATGCTGTTCCATATATACCCTGGATATAAAGATGTAATCAGACTCAAGATACTTCACATTTTCCAGAAGTTGTCAGAGTAATAACAGGTACTTTAAATACATTGGCAAAAGAAAAGAATAGAAAGAATGAAAGAAATCTTTGTCCTGGTTCTGCTTTGTTCCTAAATTAATTCCAGGGCTGGTCAGTCAGTGTGTATAGATGCCGAGACATAGAAAGCTCACCAACAGAATGCCATTAGACTGCAGGACAGTAACAATGTCTGAGCTTTTCCATGTGTATGTGAGAAGCAGGCTGTTAGGTTGCTTCCAGTTTCAACAACCAGAGCACGAGAAGAGGCATGCAGGAGAAATATAGAAGGTCCTTTATAAGGCAGTGGCTGATCTGTTTTCTGCCACATTAGGGTACAAGGACAAAGATTTCAGCAAGGTTTATGAAGCCCTGGTGGGGCTAGACCTCAATATCTGCAGACTAAGACCTGCCCCTGCCACAGTGTTGCTTTTTATGTCAGCAGTGCCACAGACAAGTCCAAGTGATGGTAGTGACTTTTAAGGTTGAACAGTTTTAGTCATATGCAATATTCCTTTTCCAAAAACAACACATACTTCATCGTGCTTTGTATCTTAGTGCACTAGAACTAATCTACTAAAATATTCATGTAGCAAAGAAAAATGGGAATTAAAATAAAGTATGTGCAGTGTATCAGAATTAATGTGCTGAGTGGAACAGTAACTTCTGTATTGCTGAGATTTTTAACCTTGCCACCCTAATGGTGTCCTGATGCAGTGTTTTACATTGAGTATTTTTCTCTTTTAAAGTTCAAAGATAAAATGAAATAAGAATGGGAAGGGGAGGGGGAAGGAGAAGGGAAAACCAGAGCACCAGGAGCACTAGAGCTGAGTGCTCTGTGAGTAAAGCTGATAAACACATTCGACTGGTAATTTCATACACAGTATGAAATCCAGAGCATGCAACCATAGGAAGCTGTGCAGTAATTAAGCAAAAGAAAAAAAGACTTAATGAGATTTAAGTGATACCTATGCAAAGCTGACCCTTAGATAGCCATAAGTGAATTTCACCCTCATACGGCTGCTCTTCTAAATGGGTGTGCATGAAACATTAGTGCATTTGCGTGAAAAATCCCACGTCTGTATTTTGCTTTTATTGTTAGCTATGTGTTTCTGCTGCACATGTGCTGAACCCTATGCTTAACAGGGCCTAATAGTCTTTATTAATAGATGAGTTTTAAAAAATATATAAGGTATTTGTTATGTTAAAAGCTCTTGAAAATCCAAACTGCAAGAATGATTTTCAAAACACTGAAATTGAGTAACTCACACTATTCTGCCCCCAGCTACAAATTACAGATGAAGCTTTTTATGCTCTGACTCAAAAAGAAATAATGAAAACTTATTTTTGGCAACAAACCAGCTGGGGAAAATTATATTCGAACTGCAAATTCACTACAAATTGAGAGCGTGAGCACAAAAGAGATAAAGAAAAAAGGGTGGTTTATAATGAAGCCAGTTTTGCAAGTGTAGCTGTGTTGGGCATACTAATCACCTGCTGTATTAGGTTAGAGAGGACATTTAAACCCTCGTGGAACCTGAATGTACCTAAATCCATCTTCCAGGTGTTGGTGTATCCTCCCTCCAGTCCCAGGTCTTGCACAGATGCAGTTTCCTGAAGGCCTGAGGGCTCTGTAGTATTACACAGGTTTTTCTGCACAAAGGTGATTGCAAGAAGTTTACTGCTGGCAGCTCCCAGTGGAGCACAGCTTGTGTCAGAGCTGAGGTGATGAGCTTTAACCTTAACGGAGAAAAACACAGAAATCAAACTTATTTCAGTTGTTTTCAAACTGTACCTTTTAAAATACATTTTTCATTAAATAGGAGAGCTCCAGCTTTAAGGTATTCCTTCATTTTCTGGCTGAACAAACCCTTTGCAGAATTACACTGAATTGTGCACAAATATTCATGGCCAAGGACATAAATATATGAATCAATACAGGAATATATATATATATATACACAAAGATTCCAGATTCTTCCCTGTCCCAGATTTCCTTTGAAACCTGAAGCCTGTGCAGCTCTTCCACACAGACTTTTAATCAAGGCTATAATGATGTGTGTGCTCAGGTCACGGAAATGAAGATGATGTCTCCAAGTTTAATTAGAAGATTTCTTCATAGAAGTGTGTTGTACAAATTCCTCATTTGTTTTATGTTTGTTGTAATTACAAGTGTTCTCTTGTCATGCAGCTCTGTGCACCTCTCCTGAACCTGCTTTTCTAGCTGTATGAGGCAGCAGTAGGATATTAATCTCCCTAAAACAACTTTCTGTCTTGCATAGGTTTCCAGCTAAATAGAAACGTGCTGATTTCTGGAAAAAATACAGCTTTAATGATTATGGACTGACTTTTGGATTCTCATTAGCCCTGCTCCCCCACTGCCCTCTTGGCTTCTTTATCCATAATAGTGCCATAGACTAAATTCACTGGAATATTTTAAGCACATTTAATTTTAAGTATGTGCTTAAATATTGTGGGCTACAGCAGGAGTAAAGTGTTTGTAAGTGCTGTGGTAAGTACGGATTAGATCTGCCTTGTTGGTTCAAGGATGTTTCAAATGAGGACAGGTCCCTCCTTTGTGTTTTCTGTTTTGTACCACCAAAATTGTACTCGGCTGCCCAGGAGCAAATTTGTCCTTTGAGAGCCTTCACTGATAATCTGGTGCCTGGGTGTGCCAAGTTTTGACTTCATCTCCGACAGGCAAAATTGCACTGGATGCCTGGTTAGTAGTGTACTGACAGCAAGAATGTTTTACCCTGTGGGATTCAGGGTGGGTTTTGAGTGAGTGATTACAGAGTGGTCGAATGTCATGAACACTTCTGAGTTGCCCACTGCTGGGAAAATGGGAGGGATGACTTATTAACTCCATTTAGTGGTCACCTAGCCCTGCTCTGTTTCACCCTGCCTCTACTGGGTCAAACTGATGTGAAAACAGCTTGTTTTGTGAAGGTGTTTAATGTTTTAATCAAAAAGCCAGATGGATTTGCCGAGAACAGGCAGACTGCCATCCCAGATTAAAGTGATGGACTGGGGGTCCATCCAACCCTGTATATCCACTGTAAAGGTTAGGCAGAGTGATTCTTTGATCACATACTCCTATCTCGGCACAAAAAAGGATTAGGGACTTTCTGCATAAGCAGCTGCATCTGAATTGTCACATTTAATAATCCAGAACAGAATTGTCTTCTGAGTATTTATAGGCTCCTTTTTAGATGTCCATAGCATCCTGTGGCAAGGACTTCCTTAGAGTAATTCAGTCATCTTGTCATTTTTCTGTGATTACACTAGAAACACTCCGTAGGGCTATTACTGTGGTACCCTTGAATATTACAGGGTATATGCAGGCACAAAGGTACAATTCTTTAGAGCAATTCATTAGCATGAATCAGAAATGGTGCTCCGAGGGCTTCCTAAGGAGTTAGACAGTTGTGTGGGATAAGCAATAATCTTTGTGAGTTTAATTTTATCAGTTGTGCCTGTCTGCCTTGGAAGTGGCTCAGTGGTAGCGGGTTGCAGAGAGATATTAGCAGTGTTTATGCCAAAGCAGAAGACAGATTAAAATATTGCCTGTGCCTGTTCTACAGGGTCCTGAGCGCTCTGAGGTTTGGCTGCCCTTAATTCCTTTTGCTGATGAAGGAAATAAGCTCTGTTTAGAAAGTGCACAGCTCTTTGGTGGTTAATGTAGGAGGCAGTGATACACTGGAGAGACCTAACCGTGATCTTATAAGTCTAAATGCAATGCCTTTCTTTGCTGTGCGTTTCCATTTGTTTTTACTCTCTGTATAAAGTTTGGTCCTTGGAATTCAGCTGCCTCAGAGAACCTAATGTGATGATTTCATTCTCTGGTATACTACTGTTTCTTTTTGTCTTTCACTGTAACACACATGCTGTACACAACTCATTAAGGCAAATCCAAAAATCCCTCTTATGTTTTCAGTTATATCAGCTTTTCAGCTGTCATACCACCTTTTACTGAAATCCTGCCAAGACCTCCAAGCTAAGCCGAGTGAACCTAGAATCACAGAATCAGAGAATCACAGAATCGTTAGGGTTGGAAAGGACCTTAAGATCATCTAGTTCCAACCTCCCTGCCATGGGCAGGGACACCTAACCCTAAACCATATCACCCAAGGCCTCGTCCAGCCTGGTCTTGAACACTGCCAGGGATGGAGCATTCACAACCTCCCTGGGCAACCTATTCCAGTGCCTCACCACCCTAACAGGAAAGAATTTCCTTCTTATATCCAACCTAAATTTCCCCTGTTTAAGTTTTAACCCGTTACCCCTTGTCCTGTCACTACAGTCTCTAATGAAGAGTCCCTCCCCAGCATCCCTGTAGGCCCCCTTCAGATACTGGAAGGCTGCTATGAGGTCTCCACGCAGCCTTCTCTTCTCCAGGCTGAACAGCCCCAACTTCCTCAGCCTGTCTTCATACAGGAGGTGCTCCAGTCCCCTGATCATCCTCGTGGCCCTTCTCTGGACTTGTTCCAACAGTTCCATGTCCTTTTTATGTTGAGGACACCAGAACTGCACACAATACTCCAGGTGAGGTCTCACAAGAGCAGAGTAGAGGGGCAGGATCACCTCCTTCGACCTCCTGGTCACGCTCCTTTTAATGCAGCCTAGGATACGGCACACTGCCGGCTCATGTTCATTTTCTCACCAACATATTGGTAGGGACCTCCAAGACACGAGCTATTTCAGTATTTGGCATACATTTCTCTGCATTGACTCTGAACAAAGCGGGGTGGCAGCAGAATAATACTGGGGTGTTAGAGGATTTGTATTTGGCAGCGGCACATCACGTTTCTTTTATTTGTGGTGATTAAAAATCCCAAGTCACTTTCTGTAAGAGAAATCCCGTGTTGTCTTGACTCAGCTGTAGTGCTCAGCAAGTGTATTCTGGATGTACTACATGGTGGGATTTGTTTTCCCATGTGATACTGCCTTTGTTCTCAGTTTCTGCTCTCTGTGGTTTTGACTCTTAGACTTGACTCCTCATCAACCAAATACTACTTTGCTGTAACTGTGGATATGACCACAGTGGTTATGTGACCATCTCTCCATCTCTTCCCCTGCACTCTCAGTTACTGACTCTCCATCTGTATTTATCCCATATGATACTGAAGTTCTGTTATCCCCATTTTCATTGATGAGGGATGAGTAATTAAGAGACTTGCCCATTGAAAGACTTTTATGGAGAAGAGTCATACACACGCTGCCTTGCTGCCAAGACAGCCCTCACTGATAAACTCCCTGTGTGGGCTGAAGTTTAACTGTCTCATCACATTTCCTATTTTTGTTTTCTCTTTCAGGCTAACAGCTAAAGCTGTCGCTGTTCTCTTACCGATCTTGGGAAGCTCGTGGATCTTTGGGGTTTTGGCCGTCAATGCCCATGCATTAGTATTTCAGTATATATTTGCTGTTTTCAATTCATTACAAGTAAGTAACTGGTGGAAAAGTTTCTGGCTATTAAACTGCTGCTGTGATCCGGTAGGTGGATCATTAGTAATGTCTGCACATGCCTGTGTTTACTGCATTTTTTTCCTATGTTCCTTCCTCTATCTTTTAAGCCTGTGCTGACCATACAGTGCTGGCAATAGTGATTCTTCCCAAATAATGGTTACAAAGGGGAAGAATCCTTTTATGTCTCAGGAACAAACAGCACTATAGTTACTAGAGTGCAACAGACTTCTCCCCATGAACTGACAAGAAAAGTTCCAATTATCTCCAAACTGAAAACTGTAAATTCAGCTGAATATTCCCCCAAAAGAAGATAATTTTGGGGATGGGAAAGGTATGGAATCCCTTCACTTTCCATTGGGCAAAAAGGCCAAGGATGTCAAAATTCTGTTGTGAAAATTTTCACAATGCTAAAACCTTGCTTTGCTGACGTGAAAAATGTTGATCTGGCATTTCCCAAAGAGTATTTCCCTCTGCCTTTATCTTTGCAAGCACAGATGAAAAGTTCTCTTGTCATGAAAACAGAATTCCTGATTCTCTACAGCCAGATCTCTCTTGACACCCCAGTGATTAGGAGGTGCTGTTTAACAGGAAAAGGTCCAGACAAGCTTCATGGTAACCTAATGCTGCAGGTGTCTCCAGTTTAATGTAGGGCAGTTTGGCCCACTCTTTGATATTTATGCATCTCCAGCTACTCGATACCTGCTTTATACAATAATGCAAGAAATATTCTATCGTATGTCAGATTCACCCTTCTCCCTTTTATCTGTTTTCAGGGATTTTTCATGTTCCTGTTTCACTGTCTTCTGAATTCAGAGGTATGTAACCAAATAGTTCTAACTAATTTGGTGTTACCAATTTCAGGTAACACGAGTATAAAACAAGAAAAGACTCTCCATTATCACTGCCTGCTATGCTACTGATTTTTCTTTCAATTAATACACGGTCTTAATACAAGTCATTAGTAGTGACTTTGTGACTTGTGGCATTTTGACCCATGCTTGACATTTAATTTACTTACCTAAGAAAGGTTTGAAAAAGGAAAAAAGGAGAAGGAAAGAAGCCCTGCTGAGCAGAGCATGGGCTGTGTTGTGCTAAGGAAGGATGCAGGACTGGCTCTGGTTTTGTTACATCTGCAGTTCCAGAGAGGAAAACAAAGACTATTCTCAGAAAACATACTTTCGGACATTGCTCATGCAGCCATTAATGGGAAACCAAACAGAGTAGGACACACTCCAGGTATTTTTCTTGGCAGGAAGTTCAGGTTTTCATTGTGGATCAAGGCATCTTTTTGCATTAAGGCTGTCTCAGAGGAGCTGGGATGAAGCCAAGGCAAGGCTGATGTCAACAGGGCATGTGGAGACCAATCTCTGCTGGGCCTGGAGCTTGCATTATCCACTCCTCCCATTCTGCAGATAGCAGAAAATGCTCGGCAGCATCTATTACAACAGCAGTTTCTTATGAACACCGCTTCCGGCTCATGGGAGTGCTGCTTGGGGAATACAACTTGGATTCTCCCACAGCAACTTCTTCTGGATGCTACTAAGTAGTTCTGCCCCATGGCCTGCTGTTTCTTCCTATGTAACGGCAGCACTCCAACTCCTCTGTGGAGATGTTATTTAGTATTTACAACCTGTTCAGTCTTAAAGCATTGATATTACTTTTGCTGCAGTCAGTCTGGAGAGTCAGGGCTCATTATGGGATTCTTGATCTTTACTGAAACCAACTGAAGTTAAGCAGGCACCTTAAAGGTAAGGAGTCAGAAATATTTCTTTGTTCTAGTCTCTCCCAAGCTCAGAAAGCTTTCCAATGTCTTACATCAAAGACAAATGTTGGAATTGCTGCCCTTTTTCCAGGAACCTCATGAGAAAACTCAGAAACTTTTCAGAATTTGTATCCTCAAAACCCATTTTCTGTCAATTTGTAGTTGAAGAGTTGATGGTTCAGGACTGTCACCTGCACCTGTGCAAACAGACATGAACTTTGCAAAAGAAATCTTCCACTAGGTTTCTTTTTTTTCCCTGGAAGGTTAGAGCTGCCTTTAAGCACAAAACCAAGGTCTGGTCCCTTACCAGTAGCTCAACGCGCAACGTCAATGTGAAACCCTTCAACTCGGACATTGTGAGTATTCCTTCCTTCCTTTTTCTTTTGACTTGTACTTGAAGGTGTTGCACATTAAATTCTGTTAGACAGAACAGGACACAAGGCAGCACACAGGTATTTTTAGTGCCTAACCTAACGCATGGTGTAGATGGGTACAATCAGTGAGCATTAAGCTGCAGCTACAATATGTTTTGAAAGCAAAGGACAATAATTCGATTTCTGGTAAAATATCAAGCATTAAACAAAGGTTTATGTTCCCACCATTTGTAATGGACTTTGCATTATGCATTCAAGCAGCATTTTGGCAACCTATTTGTCTGATGATGATGGCTTTTTGATAGAGCACTTTTACATTTAAGCTTGAGGAATAAACTCTTAAATAAGCCAACACATGAATATGCTTTTCTAGCTCTCCTTAAAGACATCTATTTCTATAAAGAACCAGACTTCTGAAGTGATAGGTATTATTAAGTGATCACTGCCAATCACTTTAGATCGTGGCAATACCTGTTTGAAAACCCTTTATGGCATATGCTTTCAAGACTGTGACAACTCTGTAATGTAAATAAATGTCTTCAAGCTTTTACTTCATCCAAATAAAAGTGGTTTAGCAAAATACATCTATTTTCAATATTGTTTTGTTCTCCAGATGACTGGGAACAGGCCAGGCACAACCCCCACAAAGCTGAACACCTGGGATAAAAGCACCAATTCAGGCAACCGCATTGATCTATCAGCAGTCTGACAGTAATACCAGCTTCTAAGTGAAAAATCAAGCCATACATTCAGGACCTCTGACACGGAATCCACCAGTTTTTCTTCACTGTTGATACCAGTAGAAAACTGCTTTTTTGATCACTGCCTAACAAATTGGAAATTGCCATATTGTTTTGTTGAGTAAATAGCCCTCATCTGCTTGCCTTCAAACTGTAACGCCTTCTACCACTTGGCTATTAGCAACAGATGTAATAATAGCTAGCACAGAAATACACTGGATGGTTTTGACAGCAACAATGAAAACACTAGGTATGCAAAAAGGGCTTACTGCTATCTGCATCATTCCAGCTCCCAGAACAGAGGAAAGGCAACATACCTCTGGAAAGGTGAATTTTTATGCTTTAAAATGAAATGCTTCTCATTGTGATGTTGTAATGGGGCTATTCTGGTCTTGCTGTGCACTCTGTTTACATTTATTGCCTTACAGAATCCAATTATCAAAGTGGAAGCTTATTCAAAATACATAGTGTGGTGATTAATTTAAATGCTACAAGGAATCCAGGATATGAGCAAAGAAGCCTGTTCCACCTACCCAGCTCCCAGCGTGGGCATGGAATTAGCTAAACTAATATACACATATAATGTCTCTATGCACATAAACAGCACCTGTAACATGTACATGTCCTATATGTGGCCTACTGGTATTTTAGATATTCCTGTTTACATCCTACTTATAAAGGCAGAAGTGGCTAAGGGTATCCTAGAACGGTCCACAGCATTTCTATCACTGATCTGTATCTGCTCACATATTGCAAAGTATTTGTATTGCTTTGCCTGAAGCTTTTGGATGCAATCAACAGCTGTCCATTAAGTGCATTTCACAAATGCACTGTAGCTTTTGGAATCAAACTCTGGCACTGTGATTTATCTTTCCTCTGTTCTTGGTTAAATCAAGACACTGAATTCCAACCATAAAAATGTAACACAATGATATACTGTGAAGACAGCCGGACTACAAGGAAGTCTATGTATTGTTACCTACAGGCATCTTTTAAATAGGTCTCTGCAGAGTCTTTTGTGTTTTTAAACTCTGCTCAGCACTTAATAGCTTCTGCTTTAAAACTGCTATGAAGGATCTCTAAGGTGAAAAAAACCACTGTAATTTTTCTTTTGACCGGTGTTTTGTAGGTTCTCAGAGGTGGTTTCTGGAGCACCAATGATGCACCTTTCCAGACAGAGATAAAGCAGGACGTAAGCTCTGGAGCTGGTCAGAACCCCTAAATATGTGTCTTGCTCTGGGATTTACTCAGCGGCCAGGGGCTCCAGAGCAATTTCCAAAGATGAGTCCCCCTATGCAGAGTGGCTCTGCAGCCACATCTCCTTAGCCCCAGCTCTTCCCTGTTCGCAGTAGCTGTCTCCCTAACTGATTTGCTGGAATCACTCCTTTTCACACTGGGCTATCAAAATAGTAAAGGAAAGGAAATAGCAAAAAAAGAGGTTGAAGATTTGCCTAAGAGGTTTTGTGTTGATCTTTTTTTTCTTAATTAATTGTTTGTATCTTCCGTGGCTCAGGCCATTTCTGCTCCCAGTGACTCTAGCAAGACATCTGCTATTGATTTCCAAGAGGAAAGATATTTGCACACTAATGTGCAGGGTGGAAATTGTGTATTGGATAGTAAATTTGTGAAGAAGAAAATAAAAGTAAATTGATCTGTGAGGAACAGGAACCATTTATCAATTTGAACTCAATTTAGGGACGTGTTTCATCCAGAAGACATGGAGCTGAAAGTTAGAAAACATCAATGCACTTCATTTCTGATCAGACCAAATCCCTTCCTACACTAAAAAAAATGATCTGTTTCAGTTTGGAGCAATCTTTTCTGCTTTCTCCTCTTCCTGGCCAAGACTTGTTGGTACGGCCACCAAACTGAAACCTCACAGTTAACTCAAATCTGTCTGAGGCTACATCTTTAAGTATTCTACAGAAATTACTTTAGTTTCACCAGATATATGCTGAATTTATGCAGCTGCAACAGAATGTGACATACCGTATATCACACATACACATGCATGAAACACATAGGCTGCTTGTGTTTCCTACTGCTCAATTACTCAACCTGTTGACAACGAACTCTAAAAGGCAGGTCAGTAAAAGCTGAGTATGTAAATGGCTGTGTCTTTACTTTGGTTTTTATGCATGGCTTTTTCCTTGCCTCTTCTGCATTGGATGTCCCACAGCTGTGTAAATATAGGGGCTGTTCTTGGCCTGAGAATGATTATTTTTTTCCCAAAAAAAGACAAAGAAGAAGGAGCTCTCTGAGTGTATGGAGGAGACTGCAACAGAACAGTACTGTGATAACAGAGTTCAGTGTTTGTATCGTGTGCAGATGTGCAGACAACATATTTAAGCATATTTTTTTATATTGGAACATGTGGGGTTTTTGTGTGTTTTATTTTGGGGTTTGGGTTTTGTTTTGCTTTTTTACACTGTGACCATGGCTATAGATTTAAACCCTCTTTGATCCTTTCCAATCTTTGTGTTATAGCACAAACAGGTCTGTGAATGAACCAGGACATAAAAGCTTTTTTTAAAACAAATTCTTAGTTTTAAACAATATTCTCCTCTACCCGATTTTCATTGCCTGCATTTCCTCCTGTGCTCATACATGTATTGGTCCCCTGCGTCACTACCCAAGGTCCACTTGAAAAAAAACTCAACAAATGACAATTGCAACATACAAATGACAGCACTCTAAAGGGCTAAATCTGGTTTTCATCCAGGTATAGCAGACTTAAAAAGTGTTCACCAAGAAAGAAGAGCATTTTTGGCTTTCTACTTTTGAATGTGATTTAGATGTATTAAATACCGAGGGAGCATTTATTATCCTGTATCCACTGAGATCCACTGTGGATAACCTGCATCCCGTGCTTTAACTTTTGAACGATGTGATGAAGCAGTTTATCTTGTTCATGGCACGGGATGTTAAGGAGGTGGAACACTGCATTTGGAATACTGGGTTGGGGATAGTGTTTCTTCTGGGTTTGATAAACAAGTGAAAAAAGTCCAAAAGCACAAATGTGTTTTGTTGCCATCTAAGTCCACTCCTTTTGTTTGATTTAATGTATTTTTGTTGTTACTGAATGCAACAAATGTACTGAATAAGAAATGCTCAAATGAATCTTTAAACAATCTCTTCCTGCCCTCAGCCTTTTGAAGCCTGAAAATCTTGCAGGTTATTTATGGCTTGTATATAGCAGCTATTGCAGTATTTTTCTTTCAGGACAGCATCATTTTGTCAATGGTATGAAATCTTAATTGAATGAGATGTGAGTTTTAAAACATGTAATGTAGCCAGAATGACTTTGCCAGTAAGTAGTAAAATAATTTAGTTTTATTGGGTTTCACCTCAAAATAAACAAGAAGTCTTACTTTCCTAAAAGAACTTTGCATTTGTTCAAATTATTCTTTTGACATGGATTATAAACAACAGCATAACAATTATGGCTCCCTATGAGTACCAAGGTGGTGATTAAACAAGCAGAGCTTTTCTGACATGAGAAGTCCTGCTATATACATCAGGTGTGCCAACTGTATAAAAGTTAATGCCCACTGAATATACTGAGAGAAGTCATTCCTTCCCCTTAGGGAAAGCAGCCTATTTTATGAAGCAGCTGCTGCAGATTATTTCTTTTAACCCAACTATTTCAGTAACCTAGTCAAGGTCAGTTCCTAGGTAAAAAAATTCGATTTATGGACATGACAAACAGATTGCGTCTCAGCCACAGAGGGTAAAACTCTCAGCAGTGTGTGTACGAGTGTAAAATACATATACATTTATATTTATTTACTTCTCTATGAGGGTGTTGGGGCCCTGGCACAGGTTGCCCTGAGAGGCTGTGGCTGCCCTGTCCCTGCCTATGCCGGAGGGTTGGAACTAAATGAGCTTTAAGGTCCCTTCCAACCTGAACCATTCTAGGATTCCATATAGATACACAAAGTCAGATATACACTGACACATACATTTCACATATATATAAATATATATATTAAAACCCCAAAACCCCAACATATTTCAGAAATCTTCTCTGTTTGCTGGAGTTGGGGACAGATATTTTGCTGCACACACGATAATTAATTTTCCATGGCAGTTTGCACTCTCCTGCAACCAAGTAACTGTAGCAGCTATCAATCAGCCACTACCATCCATGGTTTGGATGCTGGGGAGCACAGCAGGCATGGTCAGAAAGGACAGCGTGTCAGGAACATCGGGGGTTTGCTCTGCTGTTGCCCAGCTCAGTGACCTTCAGCAAGTAACTCCCTGACTATGTGTTTATCCCACCAGTGAAATGACAATAACAATACAGCCCTCTTTGTTCAAACTGCTTTGAAACTCACAGTTGACAAACAGAGTATTTATTATTAAATCCTAATGCTACACAATGGTTTTGTTCTTTCACCTATTGCTGGCTGCAGTGCTGAGAACAAAAGGATTGTATGGCTGGCCCCCAACCTTCACCCTGTCCCCCCCCAGCCACTGCATCACATATTTATGCCCTGCTCAGTCACTTTATAGCAGGGCAACGGGCATAATGACGTGCATTACAAAAACTGATGTTTTTTTAATTAATGCCTACTGTATTAAAGCTTGACTACTACACTTTTATCTGGAAATGATAATGTAAATCCACAAATGATGTATCTCAAAGAACAAAGAGATCCACAAACGCAGCATCACAGGGGTGCAGGGCTGTAGATGACACCTTTTCAAGGTAAAAGCTAGTTCTATTATGATTAATAGGCTGCCAGCTGCTTCCTCTATGTTGCATTGCTGTGTATATGTGGTGGGGTGATGATGAGATGTTAAATAGGAGGGGATTTAGGTGATGAAAAATAACCAATTATATCCTGAAAAATTAAAGGTTGGAATTCAGATGAGAAAGGTGTTTCATCATCTTTTAATACCTATTACAAAGAAACCTTTTCTTCATTTGTATCCCTCTGAACCATGTTGTAAGGCATACACGAAAGAATGCTCTGTTGCTATTCTGTGGAACATAGAGGGTATTTTTAACATTTTTCATTCATGACAGGATAATGAATTAGATAATTTTGGCACTGCTTTACATCATGTTTGCCTTTAAAAACATATTCATTATATCCATATTATGCTTGGATGAGTCAGTGTAGTATGTCATGGATAGCTATTGCTATACTTGCCCTTGTTCACACTATTTTCTTTCTCAATAATCCCATATGTTCTTGGAATTCAGGGGCCAGATTTCACCTTGTCAAGGGTGATTACAAAACTAAATATACCACTGACATCAGCATCTTCACCAGGTGCTGACACAGGACAGAACTATTGAGTCATAAGACACTTTTAAGCACTGCTCAGTGCATCTTTACCAAAGAGCCTCCATCACCAACTGCTAATTTGCTAAAGGTAATTCCCAACAAAGCACTCTCAGGCTAATTTACCTATACACTAAAGGCAACCAGAATTTTCTGTGCATACTGTACA